ACTCCTTGGAAGGAAGATGGGGCAATCTACTTCCGTAGTGATATTGCCTTGGAAACCCAAGGAGGGGTCGCTATGAGTCGGGTCCGACTCGATGGCACATAACAACAACAACAAGTTGTTAAAGAGATCATCTCTTCCCCATTTAAGGGATTTCAGCCCATTGTCAAAAATCAGCTGACCATAGGTTGATGGATCTATTTCTGGGTTCTCAATTCCATTCCATTGGCCTATGTGTCTGTCAGGCAGTTTTGACTACTGTGGCTGTATAGTAGGTTTTGAGATCCGGGAGTGTGAGCCCTCCTACTTTGTTTTTCTTCTTCAATAGTGCTTTGCTTATTCACTGTCTCTTTCCTTTCCTAATAATAATAATAAAATTAGTGATTGGTTTTTCCATATCCTTAAAGAATGCTGATAGGATCTAGATTGGGATTGCACTGAATGTATAGATTGCTTTGGGTAGTATGGACATTTTCACAGTGTTCAATCTTCCTATCTACAAGCATGGTATGTTCTTCCATTTATGTAGATCTCATGGCTTTTTGGAATAGTGATTTGTAGTTTTTTTTGCACAGGTTTTTTGTGTCCCCAGTGAGACTTATTCCCAAGTATTTTAGGGTTTTTTTTGTAGCTATTGAAAATGGGATTGATTTCCTTATTTTCCTTTCACCAATCTCTTTGCTGGTGTAGAGGAATCCACCAATTTTGGGATGTTGATCTTCTATCCTGTCATGATGCTAAATCTCTCAATTAGTTCCAGTAGTTTTCCTTCCGAGTCTCTTGGGTTTTCTATGTATAGGACCATATATCAGCAAATAGGGATAGTTTGACTTCTTCCTTACCAATTTAGATGCCTTTGATTTCCCTTTCTTGCCTTATTGCCCTGGCTAGGACTTCCAATACAATGTTGAATAGAAGTCATGAAATAGGGCAACCTTGTCTGGTTCTGTTCAAGTGGAATGGTTTCAGTCTCTTTCTATTGAAAATAATGTTAGCTGTTGGTTTTGCATATATGCCCTTTATTATGTTGAGGAATGCCCCTTCCATTCCTATTTTGCTGAGAGTGTTTATCAGGAATGGGTAATGGATTTTATCAAATGCCTTTTCTACATGAGTTGATATGATCATGTGGTTCCTTTTCCTTTGTTTTATTTATATGATGGATGACGTTGATTGTTTTTCTAATGTTGAACCATCTTTGCATACCTAATATGAACCCCTTGTTCAAAATATATTATGTTTTGATATGTTCTTTGAGTCTATTGGCTAGGATTTTGTTGAATATTTTTGCATCTATATTCACGAAGGGTATTGGTCTGTAGCTTTCCTTTTTAATGATATCGTTGCCTGATTTTTGTATTGAGGTTATGCTTGCTTCATAAAATGAATTTGAGAAGATTTCATCCTTTTCTATGTTCTGGAACAGTTGGGATTGGTGTCAGTTCTTCTCTAACCATTTGGTAGAATTCACCAGTGAAACTGTCTGGGCGAGGGCTTTTTGTTGTTGGTGGTGGTAATTTTTTAACGACCTGTTCATTTCTTTCGTT